TGACATACCCAAAGTCGTACAAACCTTACTGAGCTTCGGTCTGTCGTAGGGCAAGTGTCTGTCCATCGTGCACATCACAATCCTGTCCGAGAAACCCTCCTGGCGCAAGGTCTCTGCGCAGACCAGTCCAGCTGCCCCTGAGGGAGAAGGGAGGCCGGTGGCAGCTGTGCCTGTGGGGCGTTCGAAAGTCTGAACCCTTTGCTCCCAAACCCCACCAGGGCTGACTCCAAAATCACCATCTCCACTAGCCCTGGCTTTACTGCACAGCCCTTCCCAAGTCAAACAGCTCGCACGGGCAGCCGGTCGGGGTGGATACCCCAGGCAGGAGGAGGGACCCTTTGTCTGTGGAGCATGACTTTAATCCTCTGCAGGAGCTGTCTGTCCCTAAACTCACACAAACCCACACAGAGCAGACCTGAGGAGTGCTGCCAACGCCTAAATGCCTCTCACAAGCTCGGGGGCACGGGCGGCGGCTCAGACCCTTGCACTCCCTACTCACAGCAGGGTATTGCAGCTTCCCTCTGGGCACTCAGCTCCTGGTGAATTCGCAGCTGAACACGGAGGGCAGGGAGCCCTCCCTCCTTCACAGCTGAAATGTCGGTTGCACGCTTCACTGTAGAGGGTTTTGCATGCAATTTCTTTGAGGGTAGGGTTTTTTTTGTTTGTTTGCTTGTTTTTAAAGACAGAAAAAAGGCTAAATCAAACAAAAAGCTGCCTTGGGCTGTGCTGCCCTCCCACAGCCAGGCAGCCTGATGGGCATGTCCCTTCTTCCCTGGCCAAACTGGTGAGACTTGAGAGCTCAGGTGAGAAGTCCTGAGTCTCTTCTCAACCAAGGAACCTCGCTCAATGATGAGTGTAGTAAGGGCCATGGTTTCTGTAATAGCAACGAGAGAAGATGGACCTGGGCAGTATCATGGTTTGGTCCGTGAACAAAACGCTCCTGTCGGTGGAGGTGGGGTACAGTGAAAGAAGAGACAAGCAGGCGGACATCCTGTGCATGCTGCCTGGGGCGCGCTGAGCCAGGACTGATGCCACTGATGCCAGGATGACCCTCATGTGAGGAAGGGGCCACGGCCGCTTGCCGTGAGCTCTGCTGGGCATGGGTGGATCTTGGTCCTCGATGCAGGGCTGGATGGGTAGCCTCCACCCAACACTTCTTCCTCACAACCTCAGCTTTGAAATCCCCTTTCCCATCCATGAGAACGGACCTTGGTCTTTAATAGATCTGTATATTAATCTGGTCGAGCCTGAGAAAGCTCCTTTCACAACAGCTAACATTGCCCGCAGAGTGACCTTGCTGAGGGTTTTGGTGACTGTCCAGCCCTGCTCACACCAGGACAGCCCAGCTGACCTCGGGGAGCAGCAGTGTCACACCCTGGCTTTCAGTCAACAAACAGCAGGGGCACAAGAAAGGGAAAAATGTTACCCAGCAGCAAGGGAAAAGCCAGCCAGGCTGGTTTTCCCCTCTGCTCAATCTGTGAGCTGCAACTTAGATGGCAGGAGTAGGAGATCACAGTGTGATCCCCATTTCCACAGTTTGGATCTGGTGACCTCGGGGGCTAGAATCGAGCAAGAACAACCCATGTGCCAGGAGCAGCCGTTCCCCCCCAGCCCCAGGGCCAACACTGGACAGCTTCTATCCTCCTTCCACCCTCCATTTCATCATCCTCCATTTCATCCAGCCCGGCGTCCAACCCGTTCCAGAAACAGGCAAACTCAATAGATGGGATTCACTCTATCAGGCTTTCTACAAAAATTGCATTACACAAGTGGAGCTAGGACAGGAGATAAGAAAAGGTAGCTTGGCAGTTTTGCTATTTCATGCAGGGATTTGATATTTTCTGGGAAGAATTTATCTTTTAAATGAGATAAATGATAAATGAATTTATCTTTTAAATGAGATGAGACAGAGATGTGCAGGCTCCAAGAGGAAAAGGTGTATCCACATCACAGGAACACCTGAGAAGACTTTACGCTTATTATTGGTGGAAATCAGGGGTTACTGATGTATCTGGGGAGGGTGTAGAGGGAAGAAGCTTCAGGGGACCCAGTGCAATGGACTGTGACAGGGAACTACAAAGCTCCATGGACCAGAGGCACAGGGCACCTTTGGACCATTAGTGTGTAGGACACAAAGGCTCAGGAAGCCCCTCTGTCTGACTCTTTGCACAGGGAGGGACGCAGGAGGAGTTACAGAAGGCACAGGGCACCCTGCTCTCCACACATCTGCCCAGGAGGGGACACATACAGCGGTCCCAGCACATGCCACCCCATACCTGCACCGATGATCAGCACGTTGGTACTGCTCAGGTTATAGTTGCTCAAGGAGATGCACTTCGCCATCATCTTTGTCCTCCTCTGTGTCTGAAGAGCCTACGTCACCAACAACAAGAAGAAAAGTCATTATCTTTTCTCAGCTTTAACCTGGGTAGCCAGGCAGGAATGGGGACAACTGCACTATTGTCATAAAGCAGCTTAGATAGAGAAGGAACAACTGCGCCCTTGTACCCGACAAGGACTCCAAACTCACGCTCATCCAAACACCTCTCCACCACCCAGTACACTACCCCCTTGCAAGGTACAAAAGGAAAATAAATCCATCGTCTTCTGCAAATTCATCCAGATACGCAGAGCTGGGGAAAGAAAAAGTCGAAAAAGCAGCCCGGGTGTGCCATTGTGCCGTTCTGCAAACAGCAGCTGAGATGGAAAGACGGAAGTCCTATCAGCACCTTTATCCTGCACCTGAGCAGAGCTTGTGTACCTCCGATACCCAAAGAAGCTGATGGACTTGTCCAGCGTACCAGAGCACACCCAAGGACCTATGCTGCCATAGCCCTGCTGCCCAGACCCCCTGCTGCCGTGCGTTGGGAGTCAAAATCCATTTCTGGTGGCAGGAACAGGCTCAACTCTGCTCATCATATCCCACCCAAATCTGCTGGAGTAGAAGTGCTGCCATTCAGGTGACCTCTCTGGATCTAACCCAAGCGCTGTCAGGGTCTGGCTGGTTCCGAGCCACATGCGTCCTTGCGAATGTGCATCTGAAGAAGGCTTTTCATGGAAAGAAGAATGGCATTGGCCTGAATGGGCTTCATTCTGCACCCCATCTGGGGGAATGAGAGCCCTTTCTGCCCACGCACCAGGTTCCTCTCCAGCAAAAGGATCTGATGCCTGGGCTCAAGAGGGAGCGCAGATGACCTCCGCCATCGCCATGCCACATTCAGATGCAGCAGACACGGCCAAAAAGCTGATGGAAGTTTCCATGGGTCAACTCAATTAAAAGTTGCAATGAGCTTAAGGAAACACAGGACAAGTTCAGGACAACCACCTAGTAAGACCTCCTGAATCCATGGACACCCCAGCTCAGGCGTCTGGCAGCTGCAGGGAGGCTAGGGGAGCACGGGGAGGACATGAGGGGGACACCACACCTCTGCCCTGCTCTATTTGTGCCTCTGTACAAGATTCAGGCTCCTGCTTGAGTCAGAACCAGGCTAGGTGGACCTTTGGTTTACCCATGCTGGATGCTCACAAACCCTTCTGTTCAGGCACTGCTTCCCGTGCTAGAGAGCCCAGAGAAAAGAATTTGCCCCCCGCCCCGATGCACCCAGAGCAAAAAGCAAAAGCATGGGCCTTGAATTTGGGATGCCAGTGACCCCTCACCTGCTTGCTTGCTCGGATGTACACCTTCTCCTTCTCAATCTTCACCTGAGGGTGACAGAACAGCAGCGGTTTGGAGGACAGTGAGTGCCTCCAGCATGAAGAGGGTGATTCCTCCCCCTGTGGAACAACTAACAAACAGAGCAGCCACCTCACCAGGTCTCCTGAAAGAGTGGCTCAGGCCATGGCAAGGCTCGCCCCAGCTTGAGGCAGTGGGATGTTCCTTGCCTCATACCAACCATGCACTGATGGTCAGTGTAAAACATGATTTCTGTCTCAGGCTCACGGCTGGTTCCTCAGTCCCACCCCACTCCTGCTCAAGAGACCTCCCAGACTCTGCACGTCCACCATTAGGTTCCATGGGGGTGTGTGATGCCTGCGGGTGGATGCAAGGGGAGCTGCAGGGAAGAAGGATAGCTGGGTGAGGTGCTGCTCTCCACTGGACCTTAGTATGTGCTTGGAAAATGTTTCCTCCATGCCTTCAAAGAGGATGCTTATCTCAATGCAAACAGATATTTTGCAGATGACACCAAGCTGACTGGTGCAGTGGATGCTCTAGAGGGACAGGAGGCCATCCAGAGGGACCTGGACAGGCTGGAGAGGTGGGCTTGTGCAAACCTCACGGAGATCAACAGGGCCAAGTGCAAGGTCCTGCACCTGGGTCGGGGCAACCCCTAATATCAACACAGGCTGGGGGACAAAGGCATTGAGAGCAGCCCCACCAAGAAGGACTTGGGGGTAGTGGTGGTAGATGAAAAGCTACCAGCAATGTGTACTTACAGCCCAGAAAGTGAATTGCACCCTGGGCTGCACCCAGAGCAGCGTGGGCAGCAGGGCGAGGGAGGGGATTCTGCCCCTCTGCTCCGCTCTGGTGAGACCCCCCTGGAGGGCTGCCAGCTCTGGGGGCACCAGCACAAGACAGACACGGACCTGCTCGAGCAGGTCCAGAGGAGGGTCATGAAGATGCTGAGGGGGCTGGAGCAGCTCTCTGTGAGGACAGGCTGAGAGACTTGGACTCTCAGCCTGGAGAAGAGAAGGCTCTGGGGAGACCTTAGAGTGGCCTTCAGTGCTGAAAGGGGGCTTGTAAGAAAGATGGGGAGGGACTTTTTAGTAGGGCCTGTAGCAATAGGACAAGGAGTTATGGTTTTAAACTAGAAGAGGGGAGATTTAGATTGGACATAAGGGAGAAATTCTTCCCTGTGAGGACGGTGAGACACTGGCACAGGCTGCCCAGAGCAGCTGTGGCTGCCCCCTCCCTGGCAGTGCTCAAGGCCAGGCTGGATGGGGCTGGGAGCAACTTGATCTAGTTGAAGATGTCTCTGCTCACTGCACGGGGGTTTGGACTAGGTGACCTTTAAAGGTCCCTTCCAACCCATCAGAATCCATCCTGTGATTCTGATTTCCTCTGCTGCTGCAAGAATGAAGGTCTCACCTGGAACCTGGGCAAGCTGTCCAAGCCGGGGAAGTCCTCTATGTCACCTGTGCCGATGCTGAAGCAAGCTCCGTGCCATGGACAGCGGACTCTTCCTTTGGACAAAACCCCTGCAGGAAACATGGCAGAGCAGAGTTGGTGCTGCCCTGCAGCTGCCTCCTGCCCCTGCCTGCAGCCTGCTGAGATGGAGCTGCCATGACCTGGCCAGGGCAGGGGTGGCAGAGGCCACATCTCCCTCCTGCTGTCCTGGTGATAGTGGGCTCCTCGACTTCTTCACAACATGAAGGCCACTGCTGAGCAAGGCTGACCTTCCTGAAGGCTGAGTGTTGCTGCCCAGGGCCTCCTGCAGCAGCAGGAGTTGTGCTGCTCCACGCAGAGCAGCTTCAAAGTTCAGACTCTGCGAGCATGTCCCCACGACTCTCCTTTACCCAGAGGTGTCACCTCTCTTACAGGACACAGGGCAGCTGTTGTGGACCTGGATTGTCAACAGCATCTTGGCTACTCCGTGTGGAGTTCTGTTAACTTGCACGTGGGACTAGTCCAGCCGTTTGGGACAGAGGGTGAACACAGTTACCGACTGGGGTCCTGTATGAGGGATCCCATCTAAAACGCCCTCGCTGATGGTGCCCTTCCAGCACAGCTCCAAAGATCTCTGCTCTGTGTGGAACAAAACCTCGCTCTCTGGCAGGGCCTGGGTCTGCAGTCTCCAGGGTCTTGTAGCCACCTCCACGAGCCCCAGCAGCACCCGGAGCAAGCGGCGCCTCAAGCAGAGCATCACTTACTGAGAGCAAGCGGGTTTCAGAGCAGATCCTGGCACAGCCAGGAGCCTGCACGCCTCCAGGAAAGCACGGGCTTGCCCAAAGCCACGAGTTCGCTCCTCACAAGTGTTGGCTCAGAGGCCGCTACCTTGGACTTTGGCTTTCCCTGCCTGAAAGAGCTGGCTCAGGATGCCGGGGCAGAGCAAACAGCTACGATTTGGCCATGCCGGACTGGTCCCAAGCTTGCACCTTTGCTTGCCGAGGCACAGCAGTGCTACGTCTCGTTCCCCACCACACATGGGGAAGGAGAGGCAGCCCCTGCACACACACTGCAGCAAATCCCTGTTCCCCAGGGAGACCCCTGCATGAGCAGCCAGTCTCAGGGATGCGCCCACAGGTCTCTGAAAGGCAGGTGGGCTCTAACCTCAGTTGGCCACCAGAGCAGCGAGGGGCTCTTCTGTCGGGCTCTGCAGGCTGCTAGCCCCAGGTGAGGGCTGAGAGCATGGCTGCCTGCACCAGCTCTGCTGCTATGCCCAGAGGGCACTCAGCAGGATGCTCTGCTGTCTTCCCCAGGATCCCACCTCCAGCAAAGTGCCCTCCACCCCCAGTCTGGGGGACGCACTTCTCCAGCACGCAGCTGGGCCGTCACTGCCTGCTGCCATTACTCAGACACTGTGTAGGGACCTGCCTGAAGCCCGTGATGAGAAAATGCCAGGATGAGTATTTTTAAATGCCGAGATGGGAAACCACTGTACCTCATCCCACTTCAATCAGTAACACCAGCAACCTTTCTTTTTGCTACTGAAAGGATCCCATCAGCCCAAAGAGCTTCCTCCTTCCCCCACAAATAGGATTTTGATTTACAGAGAGCTGTGGTTTTGTGGGGTTTTTTTTTAAGACTGAGTGGCCTGAAAAATCCTAAGGTGATCTTTTTTTTTCCACTTTAACACTCAGTGGCTGGGAACCGGTAAACAGAACGATATGGAAAGCCCCATAAAACCAGGCTTTGCATGGTGACAGCGAGCTGCACCTGCTTCATCCAGGAGAGGTTCAGCTTCAGCTGAAGAATGAAACAGAAGGCAAATTTAATGGCGCTTGCGCCCGTTTTTTTCTCCAAAGAAGCACCAGCCCTGTGACCAACAGTGGCAAGCGGGGGTCACCAGCAAACTGGACCTGCAGCAAAGCACTCCCAGGAGGTTTGCGCCTCCACTGCTTTCTGCCCACACCTCTCCCCAGTGAGAAGATGCCGAGACGATGCTGAGCGTGCGGCATGGCACTGCCCCATGCCCAGCAGCACAGCCAGATCAACACCGGGCCGTCTTTCGCCCACTCTGTGATGCTCTTGGTCAGTCTCCCAGGACGTGATGCAGGCTGACCTTTGACCAGTGGAGCCCCGTAGTGGGGACACTTGTGTCCCACGGCGTGGAACTCGCCACTCTCCTTGATGAGCAGAGCCTTCCCGCAGCCCAGGTCCACTTCCCGCATCCTGGGGAGGAGAAGCACAGAAAACACATGGCAGAGCATCCGCCTGGCAGCAGACGCCACCCCCTCACCCTGCACCCCAGCCCTGGTCCTGCCAGGCTCCCCCCCTCCTTCAATGTGCTCACCACCAGCTCCAGGTGGCTTACAGGGGTGGGTCACTCCTGTCACCAAGCCAGCTTTGGAGGTGGCTCTGCTGCTTCCAGCCTGGGGGACAAGGTGGGCCATTGAGTGGCAGCTTCTTCATCCATCCCTATGCCAAGAGGTGACCCAAAGCACCTCCCCAGCGGCTCGGGAAATGGCTGGTGGTCTCCACTCAAGTCCAAGGGGTCAGAATAAAGCTTTTCAGCACACAGTGGGAGCAAGAAACTGAACTGGCTTTACTGCAACATTACCTCCCCTCCTGGCCCCAGCAGCTCAGCTGGTCCCTACCAGACTTGTGTTCACTACTCAAAGCAAACACGACATTTCTGAGACTTGAAAACCAGGAGAGGCAATTCTGACCCTTTGTGTACCCTGGCCTTGGGATCTGCTTCCCTGCACTGCGGGGGGCTGTGCTCTGGTCCTGGCCACATCCCAGGGCCAACAACGTGGGTCACCTTTTCCTGATAAAACCCTCAAGACAGCAGACACGTACGTGTGACCTCAAAAATCCCTCAGCTGTTTTTGCAGTGTAAAGCTCACACAGCGACCTGCCTGCCTGCTCCGGGCTGCTGGCCCCGGCTCTGCCTCCCGGAGGGGCTTTGCCTCCCCGGCGCTGCTGGTACTCTGCCCCCCACTTGCTTGCACAGGAGCCAACTCAACCCTCGAGCCCCGCTCTTTGAAAGACCACAGTCGCTTGTGCGGTAGCCCGGACAAAAGCGTGATTAAAATCCTTTACACACAAAGCTTTGGACTTTTTAGGCTCTCTGGGTCACACCCCCCCAGCTGCAGTCACCTGGTCCTTGACCAGCCACGCCAGGCTGAGGCTCCAGACACCCCTGTCCTGGCCAAAAGCATTTCTTTGCCAATCATGCACCTTGTCTACAAAGACAGAAAGAGCTCCTGAGCATCCCCATCTGCCGAATGAGTGATTCATGGTGCCATTAGTGCTGGAAAGGAGCGTTTTAGAGAATCCTAACTCACCTGGCTTGACTGAGAGCTGATCCACAGCCCTCTGGCTCTGCACTGAGCGACACACACCAGCCACAGTGTGGGTGCAGCGTCCCCAAATAGCAGGTGCCTTTGCCCACAGCAGCGGGCTGCCCAGGTCTCCCTGGGAATGGGATGCCTCCTCCCCAGAGCCCAGCAGCACCCAGCCACCCGAGCCCCACTGGTCTGCTTGCTGCAGGCTGGCCAGGCACAGGTTCTGCAGCTGCAACGTGTGCTTTTGTCTGCAAGAGTTTCCAAGCCCCACAGACCGTATACAGAACTGGGCTGCATTTAGGCAGCTGAATGACACTGAGCAGCTGCACTAACCACTGAAATACGAATCTTTCAACCATTCGTCATTTCCAGGAGGCTGCCCGTTGCTCCTCTCTGCAGAGTCTGGAGAGTGGGATGCAGGAGGCTTCAGCACTGAGGCCCCCCACTCCTCCATCTGCCCAGAACCTTGCCAAGGGGATTTCTGCAGCTTTTCAGCTGCAGGGGCAGTGCAGGATGCCCAAGCATCATTGAGTGAGACACGTTGCTCTGCACTGAGCAGATGTTTACTCTCTGCTCTCTCACTATGTCTCCACCAGATCTTCATCCCAACATGTCCTGTCTTCACCTCCTTTTCTCTTCTCACCACTCAGGTGCTCCTTTTCAAGCAACAACCCTGATACACCCTGTGCAACCCACGGCCCTGAACAAGGGACTGAATCTCTTCTCAATGCGATTAGCAGCAGCTGCTTTCCTACAGCAGAGCCTTCCAGCTAACCATGGAGGAAAGCGGAGTGACGAGGAGCAAGCCCTCAGTTTGCAGGGAGCTGGGCATGGAGCACTGAGCTGCTGCTCCCTGGAAACTTACCCTCTTCCAAGCAGAAAGCCTGTCCTTGTGCAACTTGACGTTTATCTGGAAACCCTGGTTGTTCCCATTGCATGAAGTGGACCATCTCTACAGCAAGCCTGACACATTGCATTTGGTGTACCAGCTGCACCACCACGCACACAGCAAACCCCATGTGCTCGAGAAAGCTACTGGCCACATGTGATCCCTCAATGCTCTTCATGCACGATAGGTCCCAGGGTCTCAGAAGAATGGGATGCACTTTGCACGCTCAGTCTTCTTTGGGTAGTGTCCCAACTCTATCCTGTCACTTGCACCCGGGCTTCGGAGACACTTGTGCCACTCTCTGCTTCATAGCCGTGGAGATGACACCAGGGCTCAGTCCACCAGCACCCCTGTAACACCTTCAAACCCAGCCTGGGCAAGTCTTAGTGCAGGTGCCTGCTCTACCTGCACCAACTGTCCCACTAGAGTAGTGGCAAATGCTCGATTTTCTTGCCACCTTGGGTGAAAACAGAAGCAGAGCTCATCATGCCTGCCCTTGAGAGAGATTTTGTCCCAGTAGATTGTCAGCCGCCCTCCCAAGCAATGCAGCTCTGCTCCCTCCCTGTGTAGGACACTTGGCACTTGGAGGTCCTTCCACCAGCACAAGGGGCACAGAGCAGTACAAGTCCTGCTGCATTCCTCAGCCATGCAGCACTTCAGATAAAACCTGCGGTTAAATGACAACCATAACTCCATGGGAAGATAAGATAAGTGAACGAGTTTACAGCTTACCCAAGGAACTGTATGATCTGAGAGAGTCAAAAACAAGACCTGGTGTCTTCAAGGCAGCACACAGACACTTGCAAGGCTCCCGATCCCACATCCACTCCCCAGCGAGCGAGAGGGTGATTTATGCTGCACTGCTCCCCGCTGAGCTATTTACTCAGTTGGGAATTTGCCCTGTTGCCCCACTGCACCCCCCACTTGGGAAGCACCAGCTAAAACTCAGGTCTGGCCTGCAAAGGACCTTTGCTCAGGAGCTGAGGGAGCACTAGGGGCTGTTTTCTCTCTGCAGCTCATTGATCTCCCCCAGTTAGCCTGCTGGGAGGCTGGCTGGGTACAGCAGCACCAGAGTTTATCCTCCTGTGGTCCCACACACTTGACATCACTCCTTCACTGGAATAAATCTGTTTTGAACTGTGTTTTCTTTCACACAAGGACAGGACAGAGCCCGCTGAGATGTTGGCCATCAGACTAATGGAACAAGCTGCAGAAAAGGCACATCTACCCCAGAAAAGAAACACCAGCCTATAAAGCACAGGCACCTTTTAGACTTCAGAAAACCCTTAAATCAGGGTAGTGAAACTATACACAGCTGAAACTTGTTGCCATTAGCAAAAAATTTGGAAAATGGCATCCTTGGTGAAAGAGCAAATTGAAAGATGAGCTCAGCTAGAAGAGCAAGGCACTGCAGAAGTGATGGAGCACACAGTCTGCCCCACCACCTCCACCCATGTGCTACTCATGCTGCTTTGTAAAACTACTAAGGCCACGAATTTGTAAAAAGTTGTCAGGGTTGTCTAACGCAAGTTGAGTGGAGCCCGTTGAGAAATGCGGCTGCATCACATCTTTCTAAGGCGAGTCCCAGGGCGGACCATGCAGGGAACAGCAGACCTTCTGGTAAAAACCAGTTGTCACTTGTCCATGATGTCATTTTTTAAGAAGAAAAAAAAAATTACTTTACTAAGTTAAATTATCGTCTCCAGAAACTCTAAAGGACAGCATAGGGGGTTCGGTTTGGGTTATAAGGTCTCTCAAGTTTTACCTGCCAAAATTTTAAGCACTTACTGTCCGTTCTCCAGGTCCTTCACGTGGCACACAGATGCTTCCACCACATCCTTCGGGTTGTGGTAGGGATTGCTGGCAATGGGATGCTCCTCGAGATGATAATGCCGGGCAGTACCATTGACTTTGTAGATCAGGGGACTGGCTTTCCCATTGGGCGACATCTCCTCCTTGCTTCTCTCCTTCTCAGGTATCACCACTTCAATTTTCACTTCAACTGCAGGAACAAAGAGAAATCTTCATTAAAATGAAGCTGGCGGTTTTGCTGCCATCCTGCCTCTCCCTCCTTCCCTGGACTTTGAAAGGGGCTGACAGACATCAGAACAGATATTTTTTGTTGGCTTGCTTGGGAAGACAAAGCATTTAATATCAAACCCAGCTTGATTACCCAAGCCCATTATTCCACGGTTCTTTCTCCATCGGGCACCTTCGCATGCATAAAGTACATATTCTTGCAAGCAGATACTAGTCATCGGTCCAAAACAAGCCCTCAGTCACAGTTCCTGTCCTGTTTAGTGGAAAACAGCTTCAGGCAGCTAAACGCAAAGCCTGCCAAGGCCTCTGGGGCTCAGGAAGCCTTCAAAAACCCCTTTAATTGTTTGTAGATAACATTAACTGAAAGAGAACAGAACACTGCATGGTGTATAAAGCTGCTTCATTAGATGGAGCCCAGTTAATCAGGAACTAGAAATATCCAAAATTATTTCTGCATGAGGTTTTCAGCATAGAGTGAATCTTCAGCATTAAGTGAGGAAAGCAAGGGTTGTCCGTTTTACTTAGGTGTACGCCACTGAACGGATTTGGCAATAAAAGCATCCCTGGCCTGGGGACCAGGGGACCCAGGGACACGGGGGAGAGGGTTGTGCCAGCACAGCGCATCCCCCCAACCACCAGAGAGGACACTGGAGCCAGCGGGTGCCCTCGGCCCCACCACCCCAGGTGCTTCAGGGGGCAGTGATGGAGCAAGGCAGCCCCTGGCACGGCACAGCTGGGGCACTGCCCCTCCGTCCCCCACCACCGTCCCATCACCAGGGGTGCAGGCTAGGCACAGGAGACCCTAGGGAGCCGGGGATGAGCTCTCCCATCACAAAGTGAAAAACATCGCTTTAGCTCCTAGGGACTTCATAACAGTCAAGTCATTAATATTTATAACAAACCCCAGGGGAGTTCTACAGCGAGCCAGGGGGGTAAGTGCCAGAGACTGAAGAAGTGTCTCCAGCAAATGGGAGATTGCTGAGCTTTCCCCGTCTAAGAAATGTCACGAACAGGAAAAGCTGTGCAGAAGATGAAAATTAAAGCTCATGACCTAGACAGGTTAAAGAAAGGCAAAGAGAGGGGAACAATGTGCCCCACAAGAGCAGGACAAGCCCTGCAGCCAGAGAAGGGCACTGGGTCTTCCCAGCTTCGGCTCTTGCCCCACACCGTTTATTGCAAGCCCACTGAGAGGACAATGGAAGAAAAGGGCAGGGGGAAGGTCAATCATTTAGGAAGGGAGAAAAGCGAGTGGCCATGGCTATCCAGGCACTGGAGGCAGGCGGTTGTGTCAAGAGTCCTGCAAGTTTCGGCTTTTTGTGCCAGCTCAGCAGGGCAGGGGATAGGGCAGCTTTTTGCCAAAGTGCCAACCCCTCGCACTCACCAGGGGCAGGCTTCACCAGGGGCTCCCACAGACAGATCCAGCAAAGCAACTTTCCGTGCATCCATGCTGAACCAACAGAAAATGTGAACTTCTGTTGCGTTATTGCAGCTGCCAGCTGCAGGAGTTACTGCAGAACAACAGGCCCAGCACCACGCATTTAAAAAAAAATGTTGCTATGAGCAAATTTGTTCCTGGAGCTCTGCAGGAGCAGCCCAGCTCCCTGCAGGTACCCAGCAAAGAGGGTCCCCTCCATAAGCACTGTCTTCCTATGGAGCCTGGAAAAGCAGGCACGGGTTTTCCAGGACAGAGTTAGGAGATACAACGAACATCCATTTGTGCCAGTCCCTGTGAAATACTTTCGGTCAAAGAAACTGGGAGATACTTTCACACGATTAAGTCGTCGATCAGACATTTATCTGGAGTGAACGTGACCTTGCGGCCAGGCCCCAGGGGCGGGCAGCGTGCTGCTGCTGCTGCTGCTGCTGCTG